TCTGGTCTGCCTTTCTGCCGGTCTCTGCTTCCCCCCCTCTCCTTCCTTCCTTCCTTCCTTCCTTCCTTCCTTCCTTCCTTCCTTCCTTCCTTCCTTCCTTCCTCTATCTATCTGCCACCCACCCTCCCTACCTTTCTAGGGCCCGTTGTCTTCATCCACAACACGCTTTGCTCCCTAGCTTTATATATAAAGCAATGTTACTGGCAGAGAAACCCAAAAACATTAAAGATTTTAAAATAGCGGGTTAACTGCAAATGCATAGAATGTAGGGTTTTCTTGTTAACTGATGAGAATAAGGTGAAACATACCTCCCCACCAGAAATAGCTGCCTGTTTTGCCAAATATTACGAAAAACTATACACACCCACAAATACACAGGAGGAAAAAATTAAAATTTTCTTCCAAAAATACAAAACTTGTAAGCCCCTATCAGCAACACACAAAGCTTTATTAGACCAACCACTCTCAACAAAAGAAATCCAAGAAGCCATTACATATCTTAAATCAAACATGGCCCCAGGTGGTGATAGATTCACCCTGGAATTTTATAAAGCTTTTTGCAAAGAACTAGTAAACCCATTAACAAAGATTTGTAATAGTGTACTAATCAGGGGAAACAAACCCTCATCTTGGGGAGAAGCTATTTTAATCACCATCCCTAAAGAGAATAAAGATTTGAATATGCCTGCGTCCTACAGGCCAATAGCTTTGTTAAATTGCAATTCAAAAATTCTTTTCACAGTGCTAGCCAAGAGGCTCCAGTCAGTCATCTCAGAATGCATAAACCCTGATCAAACAGGATTTATTCCCAACCATACCATGATGGATAATATACACAGGACATTACATATCATCTCCCATTGTAAAGGTCAAAATCAAGATACAATTTTGTTAACAGTTGATTTAGAAAAAGCATTTGATAGTATTAACATAGAGTATTTAAAATATTATTTAAAATATGGATTTTGGTAAGCAATTTGTAAATGCGATATGTTCTATTTATAATAACCCCACTACCAAAGTACGAGTGGATAACTTGGTCAGTAGGTCCTTTACTATGCAGAGAGGGACTAGACAGGGCTGCCCCCTGTCACCTCTATTAGTTGCTCTAGCTATTGAGCCTCTGGCCAGCATTATGACACTGAGCTTAGAGGTCACAGGAATCACCATTGGAGGTCAAGAACATTTATTAAATATGTATGCAGACAATCTGCTAATTTATCTATCAAACCCAGCACAATCTCTAAAGGCTATTCAAAAAAAATTCCAAGAAGTCCAAGAAATAACAGACCTAAAGATAAATAAATCTAAAATAATTCCAATTAAAATAAGACTACAATCACAACATTACAAAAGTCATATCCTTTTAAATGGTTCTCTAACAGCTGGAGATGCCTGGGAATACTTATCCCACAAGACTTAGACTTTGCAAAATGCAACTTTCTGGAAGTAGTAAACAACATGCAACAAAAATTTAAACAATGGAAGAAACAAGGCTTTACATGGGCAGACAAAATCAATATTGTCAAATGTTTTATATTTCCTAAATTTTTATTTTTATTCAGGGCCTTGCCCATTTTTATAGACACCAAAGATTTGGCGAAATGGCAAAAGTACATGACCAATTTTTTCTGGTATTACAAAAGACCCAGAATTAAATTTAGTACACTGAGGAAAAAACAACAAAAGATGGTGGATTAGACTTCCCGGATCTACAATTATATTATGAAGCAACAATGATTTCTAATATAACCAGAATATTGAGGACAAGCAGTAAACCAAACTGGCAACATATAATAGAAGCAGATTGTAAAGAGGCTTCTTTGCCAGAAGTATACTGGAAGGATGCCAAATATAGACAAGAAATAGATACATAAAATTAATTTTTAAAAAACTCCTTAGCAATATGGGACAAACACAGATCTGTGTTACTACCGAAAATCTCCCGCTTCTCAGTCTATACCAACCAGCAGTGGTTCCAACCTGGAAAAGAGAAAATAGCTTTTAAAAATTGGGAAGCTGTAGGTCTGCGAAACCTGTCTGACCTAGTACATAAGGGCAAAATTTTAGAAAAAACAGAAATAGAGGGGAAACTGGGGGGGGGGGGAATTCCGTGGTTTAAGTACCTACAACTTACAAATATGCTACAACACCTACAGAACCAACAAGTGTTCTCACCACCACTAACAGAATTTGAGGTTATTTTAAAAAATCAACAGGGAGAACTAAAAGGTTTAGTATCTAGAATATACAAAATTCTATGTGCAATAAATAATACAGCTTGGCTTGCTAGCCAAAAACAATGGCACTTAGACTGTAAATGATCATATCCAATGGAAACTTGGCAAACAATCTGGTCACTACCTAATAACACTTCATAAGTCTTCAATATTAGATTCAATACTTTTAAAGTTCTCCACAGGTGGTATGCAACCCCATCTGTCCTCCAGAAAATAAACCCAAAAATACCAGCTAAATGCTGGAAAAAATGTGGGCAGTTGGGGGATTTTGCACATTGCTGGTGGCACTGTCCACTTATTCAGGCCTTTTGGAAACAAATCTTGGCTCAAATTACTGTTATAACTGGGATCAATTTACGTGAATCTTGGAGTCAGTAGTACTGGAACTAGGTTTAATGCCCATTGATAGGGGGAAAAAACAACCAGAAGTAGCAATATTAATTGCAATAGCCAGGATTTCCATAGCTCAATATTGGAAAAAGAAAGAAGCCCCATCCCTTTACTGTTGGCAGAATAAACTATGGAAATACTTTGTATACAGTCGGGTTACAAAAAATACAACAATGGGAAACACAGTGAAAAAACAGAATATGTTTTATGCAATTTGGTTTCCCATATTAGAATACTTATCAAATAGCAATATAGTTCCAAAAAACTTTTTATGCAGCACTATTACATTTTTAAGAGTAATGATACTGAAGAAGCAAGACATATGCAATCTGTGGATTGGTTAGTTCATGCTAATAGTTATATGACATGTTACCCAATGTATCTGTATTGGATAAGGCATTCTACTGCTTTTTTATCTGTTGGATGTTGAGTTTTGTTTTTGTTTCTGTTGTGAGAAAATAAAATTATTAATTGAAAAGAAATGTGTTTACACTGCCTTTACACCCGATTAGGGTCCCCAAGGCAGTGAACATTCAAACATTTGAGCCAGTTTGGTGTAGTGGTTATGAGTGCAGACTCTAATCTGGGAGAAATGGGTTTGAATCCCCACTCGTCCACGTACAGCTGCTGGTGTGACCTTGGGTCAGTTACAAGTTCTTTCAGAGCTGTTCTCTCATGAGCAGTTCTCAAAAGAAATCTTTCAGTCCCACCTACCTCACAAGGTGTCTGTTGTGGGGAGGGTAAAGGAAAGAAGATTTTAAACCACTCTGAGATTCCTTTGGGTAGTGAAGGGTTGGGTATAAATCCAATATCTTCTTCTTCATAGAGTGTAAGGCTTGTGAGTAACATCTTACCTGATGGGCTGGACAGTATGAGAGGAGGTGATCCTTCAAGTATCCTGGCCCCAAGACATTTAGGACCTTAAAGCAAAGAGCAAGCACTCTGAACTATGCCCAGAAACACTCAGACAATTTCAATTAAATTGTATAATTTTATTAAATCAACAATTTTTGCATTTGACCTCTCAGGTAGCTATTGTCTGTTCCCAGAGACTTGTTAATTGGTAAATTTGTTATTTCATCTTTTGTCATATACTTTTTGACATAGTTGTTTAGATGACCCATTTACAGGAAATGTTTCAGAAACAGAACCTTTCATAGTGGAGACTGATGCTAAGAATTCTTGTATCTGCTTTCCAAACTTTCTAATCTCCTTCAAGCAATCTTTTCCCATCATTTAAGTGAACTGCATGACTGCGTCCATGGCTGTTTTCATGTTTCTGACATATTTGAATATATGTTTATAGCTTATTTTTGTATTTTCTAATAAACTTAGCAATTTACTTGCTGCCACCACCCTGGTCTTATTCTAATTCTAATATTATATTTGTTTTGTTAGCATTTACGTTTTTTGTTAGTCTGCTTATTTGGGTAGGACTTCAACTTCTTAAAGGATTTATAGAACTGTGGAGCCTGGTTCTTCATGTTGATGATAATAATTTAATTTAAAGTGAATATATATTTTATTGTTGTTTATACTGTAGATGACAACACACTTCATGGACCAGTTTTCATCCAGGAACCAAGCAATGTTGTTTTTGCACTCAATTCTGAAGAAAAGAAAGTCAAATTGAACTGTGAAGTGAAGGGAAATCCTAAACCAATAATAAGGTTTGTTGCACATTTATTCACTTTTTAAGCACTGTTCTGAAGCAAGGAATAAAAAAAATTGTATTCTGCTGATTTAATTGGAACTACTCCAGTAAACCTTAAGCACATCACCAGGGCTAGTTTAACATGTTAAATGTGAGAGTGTAGCTATGAAGCTCTTGTAGCAGCAAATCAGCAACAATCTCATGGCAATTTGAAGAGTAACCAATTTATTGTGGTTTCTATGGTCCAGAGCTCATCTAAAAACACCACCTAAATGCAAAGCCACCCATGATTTGGTATATGGGTTGTTGCCCATAAAAACAGATGGCAGATGTCTAAACTCTGAGAATTCTGGAAAAAAACAAAACAAAACCTTGCACAATTTTATGGGGGATGTATGTGAAAGGGGGGGAACCCTTATCAAGGTGCAGGCCCCATAGCAACACTTCTGCTGCAACCCAGTATTTGTGGAGTGGTGTACCAGTGACATCTTTGTGGCAGACCAATTGAAAGAGCCAATCAGCACACACTATAATCTCATCCGCAACATAAGGCTGCCACCATCCATATGCAGAACATATCAAGGGAGAGAAAAAAGGGAGCACAGCTTTTTCCACTGGAAGGAGTCTTGTGACATGACAGAGAGGAGCCCCAGAGTGAATCTGCTTTATGGATTCTGCAAATGTTGTTGCCCAAATGGGCAGTCTCCTAATTAGTTGGGGGAATTTGCTTTAAGGAGACAGAGTAAGAGGGGTAGTTGGGATTCTCCACCTATGTATACAAGGATTTTTCCTTTTAAAGAACTGTCAAACCAGGCAGATATTCAACCAGAAAGGTTTTTATTTAGCAGAAAAGAATAAAACAAAAATGCACACCATAAACACACACAACAGCTAACTAAGAAAAGGCAGGGTGTAAGGGTGAAATTGATTTTAGGGAAAGGGAGTAATTACTGATCTTGAAGAAGGTGTGCAGAAGCGGTAAAATGGCCAGCCTTTCATGAAGAGAAGAAGCCCACAAAGTGGGAGTGTATCTAGTTGGTACCAGGAACACACACACACACTGCTGGGAAGCAGGGTGCTACAGATACAGGGCAAAATGTACTCTGGCTCACACTTCCAAAATACCTGCCCAGACTGGTTCCTGACTGGCATCCATTTTGTTTCATTTTGGGCTAGGCAGTGTCCTGCACTTAGGGTTGCCAGACTTCCAGTCTGGGCGGGGTTTTCCTCAATTTTGGGGGCTTCAGCCCACCACCAGCCAGCTGCTCTGATTGGGGAGCACGTGGCCAGCAGATCAGCTGGAGAGCCTTTTAAATCTTGCAGAGGGGAGGGAGAGGGGCCACCGCAGGCTACAAGCCTGAACTCCAAGTTGCAGTTCATAACTTAGAATTCAGGCGCATGGGCCCCTGCTGGCTAGAAGCCTTTAAAGGATCCCCTTTTTCCTGGTACACACCCAGGGAACAAAATATAGCCACTCCAGCCAAAACATGCCATATTTTGTAGTTCACTTAGCACAGACAATCCTGATGGAACACCAAAGACCTCTCCTGCACAAGGGCTCAGGATGGGCAGTTGTGGTCCACAACTCTCTCAAGAGCAATCCTCTAACTGCACATCCAACAATGTGCATAGGAGCAAGACATCACCGAGGGCATTAAGATTTTTGCTTCTGTCTTGGGGTTGACACTGGTCCTATATATCAGAGCAGAGAAAACTGAAAAGAACGGCATGGCACAGTGGGAAGACACAAGCATAAGATATGCAAAGTTCCTAATGTAAATTCTACACGTGGCTAGGAAGCCTAGAAAGGAGTCCCAGGCACAGCCCCATTAAACATAATTACTGGAGATTGTCTTCTCATGCTGACTAGCTGCCCCAACCTGCATGCCCATCTCCCTGCTGCACTCAGGAGTTCATCACCACCACCCACTACCATTTGTTCTTGCAGCATTTGTGGCCTGTCTAGACCTGCCCATCCCATGTTGTGCAGGCTGTTTAGCAGATGCTGTTAGTGTGCAACCTGAGAACCTTCACCATCTCCCTTGCAGTAGCATTCCAGAAGAACTTTAGGCTCCACCTTGAGGGGCTTCCCTTTGGTGTCTGTGTCTGAAGGGGTATGACTAAGTGGCAGAGCATCTGCTAAGCATGCAGAAGGTCTCAGGTTCAACTCCCCTGAGAACTTGGAGAGCCACGGCCAGTCTGAGTAGACAGAACTGACCTAGATGGACCAATGATCTGATTCACTACAAGGCAGCTTTATGAGTTGATGGGTGTTAATGGATATCAGCAGAGAAGAGTTAGGAATATGCTACAACAATGTTACCACCACCACCCCCGAATCGTTGTAGAAAGTGCTCCCTTATGCATGGGGGGGGGGGAATCCCTTCATCACAGACTGACTTGATATCCTAAGCTGTACCTTTCTCAGGAACAGGGTGGGAGGCTGAGAAGGAATTTGTGTTTTTATTTTCCATGTGTTTAAAGGGGATTTTAAAAACAATGCCAGGGGTTTTGCTGCTATAACAGTATGCCAGCACAGTGGTGGTGGGAGACTGGTCTTGGAGAGGCTTAGGCACTAATTCTTGCTCTTCCCTCAGCATGTCCCTGATGCTGCTTATTTGCAGGGGTCTTGTTGTAGAAAAAGAGCTGCCGGAGCTCATTAGCATAACTCATTAGCATAACTTATTTGCATATGCCACGCCCCCTGACATCACTGGAAGTGACAGAAGGCCACACCCCCTGACATCACCGGAAGTGTGTCAGAAGGCCCAGCTACTTACCCTCCTGCTTCGTCCTCATTCCCGAACGGAATGAGGATCGAAGCAGAGGGCGGGGTGAAGAAGGGGGCGGGGCTTCACCACGTGACCGCCCCGCCCCCTAGAGGTTCTCTTCCGGAGCTCCATACCTGAGAGCTCCCCCCCGACTAGAGCCCTGCTTATTTGTATACCAGTGCCAGTGTTATATCAGCCAAGTTCTGAGACAACTTAATATTGGTGTATCTTCAGATAAATTGGTGAATCTTCAGAATGCACCATCATAGGGTTTAATCACTATCCTAAACTGTTCAGAGATGGGGTTTAGGATTGTACTGAGAAATAACTAGCATTCTTTTTGCTCTCAGTTTCTTAAAGAAAGGGAGGGAATACTGTGTGTCATGATTTCTATACTTCACAATTTTGTCCTAAATTCTAGAGCCATATTTATACAACACCTAAAGTCAGCTGAGATAATTTATTCCTTTGTGAAACCAGAGCTTCTGAGGAATGGTTCTGTGAAGTCTGAATCAATTTAATTTATTGTGAAATGTGGAGTGGCTACACTCTGTGCAGCAGATCTGCAAAATAATGGGTGGGGGGATTGTCCTGTGGATGGATAATAAAACATCTGTTGTGAAATTATGGAGGAGGGAGTATATTCAGACATAATATAGGAGTCTAGAGCAGCTCCATAAATAGAGAGGGAGTAGCTAATTTCTGCTCATCTTCTAGATCTGTAAAACTGAGATAATGGCATTTATAGTGTCCTAAATTATAAATGGTGTGTGGAGCCCTGAGTTAAAGCTGCAGTGTGAAAATATGCTATTACAAGCAGAATAAATGCTCCATTATAGGCTATAAAGATGGCAGTGTTTTAACATGGAGAGAATCTCAGAGAGAGGGGGGGGGAAACTATGAAATTTTCTGAACTGTAAAACAAACACCTAAGGCTGAAGGAAAAAAAAAATAAACCCACCAAGAGAGTTGTGGTTTTTTTCTTTTTTCTTTTTCTGGATCTTATCCTTGGAAAAACCATTTGGATCTTGTGGTGGTGTATTGTTGATCTTTTTTTTTTTTTTTTTAAATTATATATATGCAACTTCATCCTTATTGTATTATGATTTATTTTACCTTTTATGTCATCAGTTGTTCTGTTAAAGTCTGAATTAGATAGCTAGTATGGAGCTAATATTCAGTATGGAGGCCCTTGACTTAATGAAGGTGTTCTAGCCCTAGAGCTGTATGGCTCTGTGAAAATAATTAATCACAAGGTGCATCAGCAGCAGCAAGGATGTAAGCATTAATCATGTTTGTGAATAATATACACTCATCAGGTTATATGTTACATCCTTTTGGTTTTAGGCAGAAATTTTGTTTTCATACAGGTTTGAAAATAAAAAGAATGTATTTTTCCTCCATTTTTTTCACACACAAAAAAGTAGAAATCTTGTAAGGTTAGCAAAATTCAACTACTGGCATTTTTGTACTATAGGTGGAAGTTAAATGGAACCATTGTTGACATTGGTATGGATTACCGCTACAGTGTGGTTGAAGGCAGCTTGTTGATCAATAATCCCAATAAAACTCAAGATGCTGGAACATACCAGTGCATAGCAACAAACTCGTTTGGAACAATTGTTAGCAGAGAAGCTAAACTTCAATTTGCATGTAAGTAGCAATTATATCACATGGCAAATATTACATTGTTGTAACATAATGTTGGAGGGGAAAAGGCTATAAAATTGATGTATTATGAAAAGCTTCTATATTATTCCATTTAGAATGCCTCTTGATTTGTAGAACAAATACGTGCTCTGTTTGGAAGTTCAAATATTTTGACAGGTTCTTGATGAGTACATCACTGAACTGAGCCTGGTTGCCTCCCTAAATTTTAGTGTTTGTTTGTTTGTTTGTTTGTTTGTTTAAAAGAGGAAAGGGGATACATGGCAGAGCATGGGAAATCATTAAGAGGATAAATGTACCCATATAGTGATCTAAGGTATCTGAAGACTTCAAAAAAACAAAAACCCCAAATGCTGTGTTTATGTTATGTGTACATAGTGTGAGATTTGATGAATGCATGTGGCAGTGGCATTTTTGGAGTACCACTGTCCTTTGACCTTACATGCCATTAAGGGTGGTCAGATTATTTTTCTGCCACTGTTTGTAAATTGTTTCAACTTCTGTGGCACATGTTTTATCCATGGTTTTGTCTGTCAAGTTCTTCCAGCTGGGAAGTTACATAGTTCCCCCCCCCCGTCCCAAAGGCATTATTTAGCACAAAGACATTTATTTTACTAGTTCAGGTTTGCCTTTATTTATGAAGTATGATGTGATGTTACATAATACAACTGTTTGATAAACTACATATTTCAGCATATCCTGAAAGGTCACACATCTTTTTTTAACAAAGTATTCCTAAGATTAAGATCCTTGTTTGTGAAGCTCAGCTGATTGAACCCACTTGATGATACAGTTTAAATGGATTGTCTTGACATATTTTTTCTTTGTTGTTTGGTTTTCCTAGCCTGTTATGGAGGACATCCTTGTGATAGGTTTATCAATCTCTAGGATACTTTTCTCTTAGACCATTCTTCTCTACCCCCAGTTGCTCTGGATAGTTTTATATAAAAGATGAGGAAGAAGTAGGTCAGGGATTAGGATATTATATTCTTGCTCTCCAGGCACATCTCTTCTAATTATGAACACTGATAGATATATTAATGCTGAGTTACTTATGCTTTGGACAGGAAGGATACAGTTTTCTCCAAAGGGGGGGGGGGCTCTGAAATGGTTGAATTCCCCACTTCCCATCTCAATTTGGACTGGCTGTACTGTTTCCTATACTTTCATAGAAATACTGAAAAAAGAGATCTCTGGCTATTCATGAGTCTTCTTTGAAATCTCAGAAAAATGTAGTTCTTTGTCACTGCCCCTAGCCTTTCTTTTAGCTGGGAGGGGCATGTGAAGGGGAGGGGCTTAATTAAGCACAGAGTCTTAGTAATAACAATTTTCATCACAGAGATCTCTGGAAATAATACTTTGCCAGGGCTTCAGAGCCCTTAAGAACTTTGCATAATTAGCGCCTTTGATGGGACAGACCCCCACCCCGGCAGACACAAAGAATGCTATGACTTTAGCATAGTCACAACCACCTCTGCCCTGAAATCCCACCTTACACCATCCTGAAGCTATACGAATTCACTTTAAGTAGGGTCCACAACATTCCTTTTTGCTATAGTTTCACATACCTTAGTCCATGGGCCACATTTGGCCATCCAAGGTCACTCATATAGCCCGTAAGCAACCCCAAGTTCAGAGCAAGCTCACCTTCCTTTCAAATGCCACCACATCAGCTGAGTGGTAGCAGCTGGCTGTGTAAGAAGAAGCTAGGTGCATTTTACTAGTGTCCACTGCTTGCTCATCTGTTTGTGAGAGACCATCCCCGGAAGGAGTCGCTGCGGTCGAAGAAGATCTGTGCCGAGACGTCGTCACCCGGAACTAAGAACTTCAGCAGAAACAACAACCAAGACCCTGCCATGGGTGCCTGATAGGTAGTTATTTCCCCTCAATGTGTGGCCCCTTCGGGGGTTGAGCGGTCTAGAAATCGAAAGTATAAATAAATAAATAAATAAAATATTGTGGGCCTTATCTCCTGACATGTCATACAAAGAGGTGAAAGAGCAGCTGGGGACAGAGGAAGAGTTTTAAAGATGGGTGCTGCCCATCCTTCTAGTTCAGCTTGCTTTGAACTTACCTCCATACTAGTCTCATCTTGTGTCACACCAGTCCCTTCCTGTCTGCTGTCTTCTTTCATAGTGCAAACAGAAAGTAGATGAGCCAGTTTGGTGTAGTGGTTAAATGTGTGGACTCTAATCTGGGAGAACCGGGTTCGATTCCCCACTCCTTCATTTGCACCTGCTGGATTACCTTGGGCAAGCCATAGTTCTGGCACAGCTGTTCTTGAAAAAGAGCAGTTTCTGTCAGAGCTCTCTCAGCCCCACCTACTTCACAGGGTGTCTGTTGTGGGGAAGGGAAAGGAGGTTGTAAGCCGCTCTGAGACTCCTTTGGGAAGTGAAGGGTGGGGTATAAATCCAATCTCCTCCTCTTCCTCTTCCTCCTCCTTCTTCCCCCCCCCCCCCAAATCAGGCATCTCATAATGGGCCTAGGCTAGTGTCGTCCCTAGACTTCCTGAAATCTGGTTGTAGAAATAAAAATCCTAGATGTCAGTCTATGCAGACATTTTCTCAAATTGTCAGTCCCATGGATAAAAGGCCAATGTCATGCTTCAAAGACATGAGGTAGTCTTTCACACATTCCTGTTTGGGAATATAAACCATAATATCTGAATTGATGACACACACCTGTTTCAGTGGGAAAGGTGGCTGGCCTAGCTCCCTTTGTGAATTAGCAGTAGGATCGCCAGCCTCCAGGTGGGGCCTGGAGATCTCCCGCTTTTACAGCTGATCTCCAGCTGACAGAGATCAGCTCCCCTGGAGAAAATGGCTGCTTTGAAGGGTGGACTCTATGGCATTGTACCATGCTGAGGCCCCTCCCCTCCCCAAACCCTGCCCTTTCCTGGATCCATCCCCAAAGTCTCCAGGTATTTTCCAACCCAGACCTGGAAACCCTAATTAGCAGTAGGATAGCTATGAGTAGCTTTTTCAGATGTAACGTAGCTCAAAGATAACATTAAACAATGTAAGTATGTGATTAACTTTTTGAATGAGCCTCATTTTTTTTCTTGTTGGCCATTTCCTAGCCAGCACTTTAATTTTGCAAATTATTGTGCTGATTGTTTTATAAATGCTAACCTCATGCTAACCTCACTGAACCTGAACATTTTAAAACATAAACCAAACTGAAAGCCAGTTTTTATACAAGGCCTCCTTGAATGCATACCAAAAGATGATAGGTAGTGAAAAGTAATGCTCTTGGGAAAGAAAAGCCTTGTATTTGCCAGAATAATTTACAATACACTATCCAGCTCTGTTTAACCTGGTGGTGTTTGCTTCATGACTGAAAAATGCTCTTGTGAAAGATAGGTAATGAACAGCCTTCTGGAGACTAATAATGGCACATTTCACTTTGTCAGGGAGATTGGCTCATAAATACTGCTTTTGGCCTGCCTCTTCCTTTGGTATCTAGGTGTTCTACAGTATCCCAGATCTCACAAATCAAGGAAACCTCTCAATCAAGCTAAGGTTTAATATATTATTATTCATAGCCAAGCAGTTCCGAAAGCTTGTGTTGTAATCGTATCATATGTCAAAGATACCAGCCTGGCTCCATCTTCTACCCACATGGAAGATGAAAATTAATTTGGCTAGTGTTTTGCCACTGACCTTAATCTCTCCCTTATAATAAAAGAGTTTTGGGTGCCAAAGTTCTAAAATGCACTCCTTTAGTGTTAGGCCGAAAAAACTGCCACTCGGAAGACACTGGCTGGGTTCATTGGCTGCTTTGTGCAGTCCCGGCCAGCGTTCCAAGGTCATTTACATATGGAAGCTGATTGGACTACACTCCATTCCACACCTCAAACTCACCCCCCCCCAAGGCAGTTGGAATTTTCAGTTGGGAGAGGAGAATGATGTCAGCTGCTCCCTAGGCAGAGGCTGTGTGTGTGTGTGGGGGGGGGGTTGTAAAACTTAAGACAGACAGGCAGATAGGGTTGCCAACTCCAGGTTGGAAACTTCCAGGATATTTTAGGGATGAAGCCTGCTGAGGGTGGGATTTGAGGAGGAGGAGGAAGAGGGGGACCTCAGACAGATACAATGCCATGCTGCCCACACTCCAGACAAGCTGTTGCCAGTCTCCAGGTGACAGCTGGAGAGATCTTAAAGCTTTGGTGCTACTTCAAAGTTCCCCAGGAGCCCAAAACAGAGAAGTGTTTTGGAAAATCTTGAGGAATTGTTTGGTGCATTTACGATGGGGCTCCTGGGGAACTATTGTTGCCAATCTTGGCCCAGCAGCCATCAAACCATTCTCTTCAACCCCCTGCTGTGCAGCTGACTTCCCCCTAGGGTTGCCAATCTCCAGGTGGGACCTGGAGATCTCCCACTGCTACAATTGATCTCCAGATGACAGAGATCAGTTCCCCTGGAGAAAATGGATGCTTTGGAGGGTAGACCCTATGACATTATACCTGCTGAGTCCTTCCGCCCCCCCCCCGCCCAATGCTGCCCTCTACAGAATCCACCCCCCAAACCTCCAGGTATTTCCCTCCTTAGAGCTGGCAACCCTACATTCCCCTCAGTGCCTGTTGGGAGTGGGTGGTGGGGGAGGGGAAGGGAGTGGGTGACCAGAGGCTTCTGCCTCCTGTCTCCGGTCCTGGAGTGGGGGGGGTGGAAACGGAACGGGCGGCCGGAGATTTGCACCTCCAGTCGCCGGCCCTGGAGTGAGTGGGGTTGGGTGGGGGGAAACGGACCCTGCGGCTGGATGTCGGCCCTGGAGTGGGTGGGGGTGG